TAGGACAATGCCTAGCATATAGTAAGTGTTCCAAAAACATTACCAGTTATTGTAAAAATCTCTCATCCACATAGATTGTGTCTGTTTTGATGTGCAAAGAAGCTCTCTAATGTGATTGGGAGGTAGTATTTATTAAATTTTAAAGTTATTAATATAAGGGGAATTAAAATGATACATTTTACCTTAAATATTTTGTTTTGTTTAAGAATACAATGAGGCTGGGCACCGTGGCTCATGCGTGTAATCCCAACCCTTTGGGAGGCCAAGATGGGTGGATCGCTTGAGCCCAGCCTAGGTGTCTCTTCAAACAAAAACCAAAAAAATTAGCCAGGCACGGTGACATACGCCAGTAGTTCCAGCTACGCCAAAGGCTGGTGGGAGGATTGCTTGAGCCTGAGAGGTCAAGGCTACAGTGAGGAGTGATCATGCTACTGCTTTCCATTCTGGGTAACAGAGTGAGACCCCATCTCAGAAACAGAAAAACCCAGAAAACAATCAAACACACAAAAAACTATATAGATGTAAAGCAGTCTGACTATATGCTCCATCTAGAGATGTATGATTTTCCTCCTAGACTTTGACAGTTGATTCATCTATACCTGATTTAACATTTTTTTTGTTAACTAGCTGTTGAGTCTTTCTAAATATTTAGTTTCATTTTTATAGAAGCAACTCTTCATATTTACAGTTTCATTGATTTATGTAATATTTAATCAGAATTTTATAACATACTGTATGTTATAAACTGTAAATTATTATAACTAGTATATAAATATAATTCCTGGTAAGTTGATGGGAGCATAAACCAGTAGGTTTGATAAAAAGCTTGACTAGTGGTAAATGTTCAGTAATTTATTAGAATGGAGAGTGCTGGTTAATTTGCCAATTTAGTTTCTTAAGGATGTTAGATAAGATAAAATAGTGTTGTCTTGCCTTCTAGTATCTCTTAGTATATGAAAGTATTATACAGATACTGGCCGGGCACAGTGGCTTACACCTGTAATCCCAGCACTTTGGGAGGCTGAGGCGGGCAGATCACAAGGTCAGGAGTTCAAGACTAGCCTGGCCAACATGGCAAAACCCTGTCTTTACTAAACATAAAAAAATTAGCTGGGCGTGGTGGCAGGTGCCTTTAATTGTAGCTGTTCAGAAGGCTGAGGCAGAAGAATTGCTTGAACCCAGGAGTCGAAGGTTGTAGTGGGCCAAGATCGTGCCATTGCACTTCAGTCTGGGCCACAAGAGCAAGACTTCATCTCAAAATAAAAAAAAAAACAACAACAGTAAAGACAGTATTATACAGATATTTAAACAAAGGATTCATCACTACATAATAATAACTCAGTTATGTTTCAGCTCTTTCAAGTATTTAAAATTTGTACCTTTGGTTTTTCTTTGTGTTCTGGTTCCTTGAGGACGTGTGGTTTTTTAGATCTCCATTTTCCATGTCTGTCATCTTCTCTCGGTATCTTTGCATTCTAGTAAAGCTTCTTAAGTTTGACCTCTATAGCCACATCAGCAGTTCTTTTCTTTATACCCTCTAGTATCTATTAAAAATATTTTTTGTTTCACAGTTTTTGTTGTTTTTTGTTTGTTTTGAGACAAACTCTCTCTGTTGTTCAGGCTGGAAGGCAGTGATATGATCTCAGCTCACTGGAACCTCTGGCTCCTGGGCAAGTATTTTATTCTGCAGTTGAATCTGTATTATCTTGGCAGTCCTAGATTTCATTTATTTCCTTTTTCATGTTGTCTTTGTTTTGCACCTCAGCCTAGTCTCCCATTTGGCTTTCTCTTCCTGTTTTATAAAGACATGTCTTCTGGCATTGAGGATATCATACAATTTCTTACACATTTCAAACTGTATCTTAGGAGGGAGGAGAAGTAATATTTGATTGTCTGCTATGTGCCAGAAAATTCACATTACTTTTTTAAACATCTTGATAACTACGGTGTATCATATTTTCCTGATTTTACAGGTAAGGTTCAGAGTTACATAGTGCAGTTGGGATTTTGTGTGGCTCTTCCAGTTAGCACAAAGGTTTCTAACCTTCCTCCTGCCTCCACATTGCTCGTATTCTCATTATATTCATCATTCTCTATGATAAATATATGTACTGGAATATATATTCTGTGATGAATATGTGCACTGGAATCTTCTGGGGGTAGGGCCAATATACTTTTTAAAAAACCCGCTCAAATTTAGATACTATTCTCATCACACATCTTTTATAATTGCTAAGTTAGAGTTCTGATAAATATTTGGGTAAACTTGAATTATTTCTTTATTTGTATTATGTATCCTTTTCAGTGGGATGACAATAAACTTGTCTATTTTAAATAAATTCATACAAGTGGATTCATTTTTCTGATCTCTAGGAGAAGTAAAAATATGGGAGCGTTTAATGTCCATAATTTATTTCAATTTCTTGAAATGAATAGAGTGAACATTGGGTATTTTCCGTGTGATTTCTTTCTTTTCCTTCCTTCCGTCCTTCCTTCCTTCCTTCCTCCCTCCCTTCCTCCCCTTCCTCCCCTTCCTTCCCTTCCTTCCTCCCTTTCTCTTTCTTTTATTTTCTTTCTTTTTTTTTTTTTTTTTTTGAGGCAGGATTTCCCTGTATTATTCAGGCTGGAGTGCAGTGGCAGGATCACTGTTTACTGTAGCCTCGACCTCCCAGGCTCAAGCCATCCTCCCACCTCAGCTTCCTGAGTAGCCGAGACTACAAGCACACTTTTACACCCAACTAATTTTTAAATTTTTGTAGAGACAGGGCCTCTATATTGCTCAGACTAGTCTTGAACTCCTGGACTCGAGTGATCCTCCTGCCTCAGCTTTCCATAGTACTGGGATTGTAGCTATGAGCCACCACACCCGGCATCAGCATGATATTTAACTAGTTTTAGACTGTCTATCATTCTCAGTAGGCTAAGAACAAAAACCCCAATATGTCAGTGGCTTAAAAAGACAAAAGGTGTATGTTTTGCTCATGCCATGTATTAATTGAGGGTCAGCTGGGGGCTCAGCTCAACATTTTTGCCATCCTTACTTTGGGTCCCACTTTGGGATCTCACTTGGGAGCAGCCATTGTATAGAACATTACTGGTTAATTAGGACAGAGGGAGAAGAGACTATATCAAACTACACTCTGGCTTTTAAAGCTTTTTACCTGGAAGAAACATTCACCACTTGCACCCACCAGCTCTGGCCAAAGGACGATTCTTGGCTGTACTTGGGATATAAACAGGATGGGGAAATCAATCTTTCCATATGCTCAGAAGGATAAAAACAAGTATTTGTGAACAGCCCTCCCACGGAGACAGTGTTTTCTGTGGAAAAGTTTTTTGAAAATTATTTTTGAAAATTATTACATGGAAGCCAATGGGAAAAATGTGAGTCAATACTATGTCTTATTAGTCTTTGGGAAGAGATCTCCAATCTAAGATGAAGTCAGTTTTTACTTGTTTCTGGGAAGAGAGAAGATGAGTGTAGAATAAAGTAGAAGACATGGTTTCTGTATTTGAGATTATTGTAGTCTAATGGCAGGGAGCACATGTGAAAATATGGAATAGTAAGGAAACTCTTCTGTGAGGTAGTATCCTTTCCAGAAAGTAACTGTTCGGATAAGTGGAGAGATGGCAGGTGCTGTCATTCCAGTGTAGGTAGGGTTAGGTGATAATCTATGTGAAATGCCTAGCACATCGTCTGACAGTCCACAGATGATCATTCTTTTCCATTATCATTTATAGATGGAAAGATGACCTGGTGAAGAGGACAGGGAGGGCTTAAGCTCGGCCCTTAAAAGATGGTTTGGACAAGTAGAAAAAAAGAAGCATTTCAGACAGCACAGAGACAAAAAAGTAGCTATCAATCAGGCACATGCAACACTTCATAGTACAGCTCAGAAACTCTTGACTCCTACTCTTTGCTGCTTTTGATTATCTATTAGCAGCTTTTGGTTATTGGAATGGTTTCCTGGGTAAGTTGTTTTGAGATGCAAATTAGGAGTAAGATTTACTAAAGAGGAGAGGGAGATGGGCATTCAAGGGATGAGCAGAAATCAAGGACCAGGAAGGGGGCTCTATTAATAGCAAGTCCTTTGAGAAAAGCAGATAGGTTAGATTGACTGAAATAGATGTGTGCTATACTGTATTTGTTGTATTTGACCGGAGCGTAGAAAGTTACCACAAGACAAAAGTATGCCAGATTGCAGGGTCATTTATTATGCTGCGACCACAGAGGACTCACGTCTCTCCAACCTGTGGTGCCAAAAGGAGGGTGCCATGATTTTTTATACCCGAAAAACCACCTTGGGAGTGGGGGTGAGGGGCGGGGATGGGGATGATAAGGTTTCGGACATTTCAAGGGCTAGGGGGTTCTGTGATTCACCTCCCGGGTGGAGACAAGGGCGGGGGTCTCCGGACATTCCAAGGGCTAGGGGATTCTGTGATTCACCTCAGTGGTTTACAGAAGTCAAGATATACATTTGTTTACACATCACAGATTTTAGCAGTTACTGATAAGAAAAGGTAAGCAGCTTTACATAGTTTTGAAGAACAAACTAGCAGTTCTATTTACAGAGGCCAAGGACAGCAGTTATTGTAAGGAGAATGGGGCAGCCATTTCAACTTATCTAAAAACAGTTTTGCATTTTATAAAATAGTTTTGCTCCAGTTCTGGCTCTAGGCCAGCACAATATCACATATTAATATTTTATGGTTTTAAGGAGAGTCAGTTTGTGATTTGTTTATTTAAGATGTTTGGTAATACGCTAGTTATGTGCAAAGTGCTGTTAGGTGCTGTGGGAGATAAGTGATACCTAAGTAATGTTTCCTGGCTCATGCCTATAATAGCAGTACTTTGGAGGCTGAGACAGGAGATCACTTGAGGTCAGGGGTTCAAGATCAGCCTGGGAAACATAGCAAGACCATGTCTCTACTAAAAATTGAAAAGTTAGCCAGGCATAGTGGTGTGTTGTAGTTCTAGCTACTCAGGAGGCTGAGGTAGGAGGATTGCTTGAGGCAGGCTAGGTGACAGAGTGAGACTCTATCTCTAAAATAAGTAAGTAAATACATTTTTAAAAAGTAATGTTTCCCGTCCTTGAGGATCTTCCCGTATAATGAAGACAACCAGGTACACAAATAACATTTTTACAAAGCGTGGGATGAAGGGGATTACAGGAATTGATTTAAAGAGAATTGGCTAGTCTTGTGTTTTTTGTTGGAGTTTGAGGTTTCTAGCACCATGTGCTGACTTCAAAATTCTGACTGAAAAGTACTATGTTTGGTATCATTGGGGAGTTTTGCAATAGAAAGTGTTAAACACCTACCAGCAAAATATGAATATTTTGTTCAATATGACCTAATTTTGACTGAAGTCTTGGTCATAGTTTTATTATATTAATAAAGTATTAAGGTATAAGTTCTGTTTACTTTGGAAGGATTTTTAATTTTTAGATTTTAACATTTTGTCATTTTAAAAATCAAGATTGGTTAGGAAAACATATTGGCACACAGCAAGCATGTGTGTTAAATGGTGGTTGAAAAAATAAACAATAAGAGGCAGTATAATACACAGTCGTCCCTTGGTATCTGTGGGGGATTGGTTCTAGAACCTCGACTCCCACAAATACCAAAATCCCGAGATGCTCACGTCTCTCATATAAAATGGTGTAGTATCTGCATGCGACCTACACACATCCTTCCGTATACTTTAAATTGTCTCTTGATTACTGGTAATGCCTACTACAATGTAAGTGCTATGTAAATTGTTACATTGCATTTTTTTGTTGTTTTTTTTTTTACTGATGCATTTTTTTTTAATTAAATTTTTTTTTTTATCTCGTTGGTTGAATCCACACATGCAGAATGTGCAGATAGGGAGGTCCAGCTGTAGTGTGTAAAAGTGGATTCTGCCCAGGATTGGGCTCAGATCCTGAACGGTTGGCTATTTTAGCTATTTTTAAAATGTTCACTGTGCTCTGGTATTGTTCTAAGTGTTTTAAAATAATATTTAAAGCTTGTAGCAATCATATAAAGTAGATACAGTTATCTCCATTTTACAGAGGAAACATGGCACAGAGAGGGAGAGCCGTTATTGCTAATTATCGTCCATAAACAGTTGACTGATGTTTTTGGTAAGCCAATTATGGGTTGTTGCCTTTTTTCTAATGTCTGATAGCAGTATCAGGGTCAACAATTGGAGTGCAGATTTGAGAATTTTTTTTAAGTCTAAATTTGTTCTAACCACTACCTTCTTTCCTCTTTAAAATAATCTAATATAGAAAAAAATAAGGTTTGTAAACGTTTGTAAACGTTTAAAACAAATTCCCCAGCATTCTCAGTATTGAGAACTAAATGGAGTTGGGGGAACCCCTAAGTGTATATCAAATTAATTTTGTTTAACAAACATTTGCATAATTACTACTATATGCCAGGCTCTTTCTAAGCATTTAACATACATTAACTTGTTTAATTCCCATAGCAATCTTGAGATGCTATTGTGCCATGAATCTCCGTGATACAAGGAAATCAAGGCAAAGAAAGATTAAATCATTTGCCTGAGGTCACACACCTGGTAAGTGGAAAATATGAATTTTAGTCCCAAGCAATCTGCTTCCACAATCTGAGCTCTGCTTGCTGTCTTTATTTTTGTACGTAACATGACCCATTGAGAGAGAAAGAGTGGACAGGCAAGAAGGGATCTGTTAAAAATGACAAATACATTGTCTGTGTAATACCTTAAAAAGGAGAAAAATCAGAATTTGCTGTTTAGAGTTAAATATTGCCTGTAACACTGGGCTCTTTGGAGGAAGAGCTAGGGAACTGACATCTGTTAAATAAGAATCTCTATGTCAGGTATTTGTGTTTGGTGTTACATATTATCTTATTCAGCACTTAAAGCAAACCTGTCAGGTAGTCTCTTCTATCCTCATTTTGTAAGCAACGACATGGGTTTGTAATAGCCGAGAGTCACCTATAACTACTGCTAGGTTTTGAACCCAGGTAGATTTTTTTTTTTTTTTTTTTTTTTTTTAAACGGAGTTTCACTCTTGTAACCCAGGCTGGAGTGCAATGGCGCAATCTCGGCTCACCGCAACCTCCGCCTCTTGGGTTCAGGCAATTCTCCTGCCTCAACCTCCTGAGCAGCTGGGATTACAGGCATGCGCCACCATGCCCAGCTAATGTTTTGTATTTTTAGTAGAGATGGGGTTTCACCATGTTGACCAGGATGGTCTCGACCTCTTGACCTCGTGATCCACCCGCCTCGGCCTCCCAAAGTGCTGGGATTACAGGCTTGAGCCACCATGCCCGGCTCCAGGTAGGTTTTCGTGTGACTCTAAAACATTCTAAAAAACTATTAATACTTTGCATCCTAAGAAAATATCAAAAACTCAAATTTATTTGCCAAATAAGCTACACATTCTTTTGAAATACTAATTCAAGAAATGATAAAACATTTTATCAACTAAAAGACCTTTAAAAAATTTGATAAGAGAAAGGAAGCAAAGACATCTCAAATATGGTAATTACTAGGACCACAGGGACCACTAGATGGAAATTAGATTTTTCTGTGCTTTTCTGAGGATGTGCAGGCCTGTTTACAAATGACTGTTACTTTCTGTGGAGTGTGATCATTCAACCAATTTGAGATTACCTATGTGATATGGCTATTAAGTTATGAAAACTAAATTTATTGCATCTATGGAAGTATTATTTCCTTTATTCATTCTAGGAGGCTCTATATTGTTGCTCTTATAGCATTAAAATGTTGGGAGAACACTTTTAAAATTTCCTTTAAATTTGAATTTTATATGGTTTTGAGTAAATAATATGGTGCAAAATTCAAAATACTTGAAAAGATACACAGTGAAAGGTCTTAAAACCCTCTCCTCAGTTCCCTCTACCTGCAGCCACCCAATTTTTCTCAGAAGTGACGAATGTTACAAGGGAAATACTTCTTTGAAATTATCTTCAGAATTTTTGAATACTTGCAATTAGGATATATCTAACCAGTTATGACAGATTTGACTTTATTTTTAGAAAGTCAGTTCATTTACAGTCTGGCATATAAAGGAATAATCAGTTTAAGTAATATCGTTTTTAAAAATCAAAAGCAAGTATGTCTGCAGGGTAATGAGATTTGTGGTGTGATTCATAAATTGGCCTAAAATCAGGGATCAGAGTTGCAAAGCTAGTAGCATTAAAGAATAAATTTTTAAAATAACTTGATTGAGATAACTAACATACAATAAACTGCACATTTGAAGTATATAATCATGGTAAATTTTGACATATATATGTAAAACTGTCAAACTGTCACCCCTAGTTTTGGCATTTATAAATGAGGTAGTGAGCTTATTCATCGTCTCTGAAAGTTTGTTCAGGTGTTTTTGTGATTCCTCATTATCTTGCCTCTATCCATTTTTCCTAGATAACCAATGATCTGCCTTTTTTTTTTTTTTTAAACCAGTTATCTGCTTTCTGTTACCATAAATTTGTTTGCCTTTTCTAGAATTTCATATAAATGGGGTCATGCAGTGTACATGTTTTTGAATTGGGGAAGAGTCTGGCTTTTTCACTCAGTATAATTATTTTGAGATTCATCCATATTGTTGCATGTATAAATAGTTTGTTTCTCTTTATTGCTGAATATTATTTATTTCACTGTCTAGCTATACCACAATTTGTTTAACCATTTACCTGGTGACATTTGGGTTTCCACTTTTGGACTATTACAGATAAATCTGCTAAGAACATCTGTGTACAAGTATATTTGTGTGGATATATGCTTTCATTTTTCCTGAGTAAATACCTTGGCATTGAATAGGTGGGTCGTGTGGTAGGTGTATTAGTCCATTCTCACACTACTATAATGAAATACCTGAGACTAGATAATGTATACAGAAAAGAGGTTTAATTGGATTACAGTTCTGCAGGCTTTACAGAAAGAATGATTTTGGCATCTGCTCAGCTTCTGAGGAGGCCTCAGGAAACTTAAAATCATGGTGGAGGGCGAAGAGGGAGCCAGCACTTCACGTGGCCAGAGCTGGAGGAAGTGCAGGGGAGGTGCCACACACTTTTAAAACATCCAGAACTCAAGAACACCATCAGGAGAACAGCAGTAGGGGGATGGTGCTAAACCATTAGAAACCACCCTCATGATGCAGTCACCTCCCACCAGCTGCAGCGTTGGAACTTATATGTCAACATAAGATTTGGGTAGGGACACAGGTTTAAACCATATCAGGTGTATGTTTACCTTTGTAAAAAGTTGCCGAACATTTCTAAAGTGACTATACCATTTGACACTCTCACCAATGCAGTGTATGGTGTTTTAGTTGTACAGCATCCTTGCCAACAGATGGCCAGTCTTCCAAAATCTCATTTTGTTTTTTTCTCTCTTTGAAGGTGTAAAGGAGGGAAGTTTATTTTTTATTATTATTTTTTTTTTTTAGCAGTTTTAGGTTTATAGAAAGATGAAGTGGAAAGTAGAGAGTTCCCATATGTACTGTCATCCTCCTAACTCCCCTCGTAGTTTCCCCTGTTATTAATATCTTGGATTAGTGTCGTACGTTTGTTATGGGTGATGAGCCAATAATGAAGCATTATTGTAAACCAAAGTCCATAGTTTACATTAGAATTAACTGTTGTACATTCTGTGGCTTTTGACAAATGAAGTACAATGATGTGTATCTGCTATTACAATATCATACAAAATTATTTCATTGCCCTAAAGATCCTCTGTGGTTCACCTGTTTATCCCTGCTCCCCTCCTCCTGAACACTAGGCAGCCACTGATCTTTTGTCTCCATAGTTTTGCCTTTTCTGGAGTGTTACATAGTTGGACTCAGTAGTTTGTAGCCCCCCCTTTTATTTTTTTAAGACAGAGTCTTGCTTTGTTACCCAGGATGGAGTGCAGTGGTGGGATCTTGGCTCACTGCAACCTCTGCCTCCAGGGTTCAAGCAATTCTCCTGCTTCAGCCACCCAAGTAGCTGGGACTACAGGCATGCACCATCACGGCTGGCTAATTTTGGTATTTTTAGTAGAGATGAGTTTTGCCATATTGGCCAGGTTGGCTTCAAACTCCTGGCCTCAGGTGATCTACCTGCCTTGGCCTCCCAAAATGCTGTGAGATTACAGGTGTGAGCTACTGTGCCCAGCCTCAGATTGGCTTCTTTCATTTAGTAATAAGCATTAAAGATTTCTTCATGTCTTTTCTGTGACTTGATAGTTCTTAATATTTCATTGTATCACTTTCTTAAGGACATCTTACTTCCAAGTTTTGACAATTATGAATAAAGCTGCTAGTACAATACATGCGCAGGTTTTGTGTAGTTGTAACTTTTTGACTCATTTGGGTAAATATCAAGTATGATTACTGGTTCATATGGTAAGAATATGTTTAGTTTTATAAGAAACTACTAAACTTTCCAAAGTGGTTGTACCATTTGATATTCTCAACAGTAGTGCATGAGCATTGTAGTTGCACAGCATCCTTGACAACACTTTGGATGACTAGTCTTTTGTAATCTTGTGGTTTTGATTTGCATTTCCGTAATGACTAATGATACTGAGTATCTTACTGAGCATGGCTTTATTTGCCATCCTTATGTCTTTTGTTGAAGTGCCTGTCCTAATCTTATGTTTGTCTTTTTTTGTTGTGTTGTAAGAGTACTTTACATGTTCTAGATGCAAATATTTTGTCAGGTATGTGTTTAGTACATATTTTCTCCTAGTCTATGGCTTGTGTTTTTATTTTTTTATGGTGTTTTTAGAGGGCAAACATTTTTAATTTTTGAAGTTCAGTGCATTTTTTTCTAAGATTTGTATTGTACTTTCGTTCTTCAAAAGATGCCATTTAAAAAGTGCAAAGAAATCTTTGCCAAACTTAAGGTAACCATAATTTTTTTCTACCAGTTTTATAGTTTTAGCTCTTATATGTAGGTTTATGATCTGTTCTGAGTTAGTTTTTGTATGCTATGAGGTAAAGGCTGAGGTATCCATCTGTCGTACCATAATGGATAGAAAAGATTATCCTTTCCCCATTGAATAACATTATCCCTTTAAAAAAATTAACTGGCCAATATATATGGGTCTGTTTCTAGATAATCTGTTTCATTAACCATTTGTCTACCTTTATGCCATTAACACGCTGTCTTGATTATTGTAGCTTTATAAGTCTTGAAGTTACGTAGTTTCTCTTTCTTCTTTTTCAAACTTGTTTTATAATTTCTAGGTCCTTCACATTTCCTATTCTGTTCTGTTCTGTTATATTCTATTTTTTGATATTCAACAGAGTCTCCCTCCCTTGCCCAGGCTGGAGTGCAGTGGCGTGATCATTGCTCACTGCAGCTTCAAACTCCTGTGCTCAGGGATCCCCCTGCTTCAGCTTCCTGGGTAGTTGGGACTACAGGAACATGCCACCATGCCCAGCTGATTTTTAAATTTTAATTTTTAATTTTTTTTGTAGATAAGAATTCTTGCTATGTTGCCCAGGCTGTCAGTGTAAGTGTTACAGTCTGCTTTTCGGTCTTCACAGTGTTGCCTCCCATGCTATTTGAGATTTCATTGAA